AGGCATGGCGCTGGACGCTGGTACCCAGAGATGTGTCAGCGTGAATATAGATGTGACATTATTGCGTAATCTATCGTCGACTGCAGCCTGTCCACCTCCCACGTTATCTGCCCTTCGCACTTCTTGGTGCTGTTGCAAATGAATAAATCATGCCTTTCACACATATCTATTAGCATTCTGCCTGTTGGGTCAGTATATCCGTCCATATCTTCTATGTGTGCATTCACATCTAATATAAATACATCGCATTCCTCTCTTAGTTAGTCAATGTCATTTCCTATGCGCTGCACCATTTGTTGATTTTTCTCTAGCTTTTGCCCCTCTCCACAAGTATTCAGAACCCAGGAGCGTCATTTGCCCTGCCATTTTCCTTTTGAGTCACAAATGTTCCCTGCACTCCGGCTTGACCTTTTTCCAGCATGTACATTTATTAATTTATCCCCAATACCACCACCCTTTCTACTGCCTTCTGTTCTAGTACAATATTCCGACGCGTAGTCCGGATATTTAGGAGGTTTTTCCATGTCCCTAAGATGTGTTTTTACAAAACCATATACCGTCGGCTTCTCCTCTCTTAGCTGTTCTTCTATCTCTTCCCACTTCATCCTATTCCTGCCAACCTGCATTGTTAATATGCCCTACGTCAGAATTGGCTTGGCCCTCGTGGCTACGTTGATTTCTCTCATCAACTCTACGCGTCTTAGATATTGGTGCCACTTTCGAATAATATATGTCTATACCACCTGTCAAAGAGTCCCCCTGGTTGTTTTCCTCGTTACTAGCTATCCTCCACCCCGAAGGGCCCACGTGTCTCCCCCTCCCCTAAGATAAACCTACTGTACGTCCTGCAAGTCACCAACCCCCTTCATGATCTAGCCTCCCATCGAAGTGAATTCAGTCTTGTTGAAAACAACCCCACCTACGCACCTCTGTTTATTTCCACCACCTCAAAGCCTTTCTTCCAACTCATCCGCTATATCTCCTGGTTTGCGTTCACAACCGCTCTTTGCAGGTTGCCGTCACGTACCGGTACGTCTGGTATCGTGCATATTACTACCTGTACCTGAGGAGAAATGGCGCGCATATCATCCACCCCTTTCGCCAGTGTGGCCGCTAGTCCTGCCGTTTCTTTATTTAGGGCATTGCTCAAACCGCCTGCAATTATCACGAGGTTTCGTCCATCAACTGTAGTTTTGAGTTTTGCGCTCGCTTGCCTCACGACTGCTTCCAGCTGGCGTCCTGGAAACGTCTCTACTGCAACCCTCTTGTCACCTCTTACGCTCTTGTATTGCTTCTGTGCATCGATTTAAATTCGAGTCCCCAGTGATTATCACGTGCTGTGACTTTTCAGCTGCAGCGTCCTGCACCTGGAGGTTACTTGCACCTGTGACGCCGGCTGCTTTGTCTCCTCCCAGCCCCACCTCTACTTCGCCGAAGCTGCATCTTGCGACCATTGAACCGGCTGAACATGTCTTTTCCGAACTTGCTTGCTCTTCTCTGCTGTTCTGGCTTCCGGTGCCCTACCGTTCTCTCCGTCGGCCGCTCCTTTGTTCAGCTCCACTAGTGACACCTCGGTGGACTTGAGCCTCTCTCCCATAGTCCTCGTTTTTTTCTTGTTCTGTCGCCAACGCAGTTATCCGCTCGGTGATTCTCATCGACAGTTCACTCGGGGCAACCATAATTTTCTCCATTTTTTTCCTCGACCACACATCGCCTACACTTGGCGTCAGCCTTCTCTCTACCCCCGTCTGAACTTGGGTCCATTTTCAAACGCACATCGCATCCTGAACATTTTACTGCCTTTTCAGCCATGTCTTCTTGACACCAAACGTCATTAGGAATTGTCCCACTTGATAATTACAAAACATGGCATACGACGAACCATGACCTACGAAAAAAAGGGAAAGTCTAATCTGTACTACAAAAAGTTGCGTGTTCACTGTACGTGCAACTCCCACGTGGGGTGAAGAGAAAAAAAAAACACTAACAAACAAAAAAATTCACATAAAAACTAGTAAACGCCTAGTAACTGACCCCCGAAAAAGCCGTACATTGTAGTAAGTGCTCCAAAGGTTTTAACTGCTGCCTTAGTAATTATAAAAGCAAGTTCAAAACATGCATAACCACTTATCTGAGTAGTCAGTCGGGAGCGCTCATAAAACACGTCCATCCACCGTGCCAGTTCAAATTGAAAAAAAAAAGCTGTGGTGCATCAGGCCCCACAGTGTTTTTTCTGACATACCAGGTTCAGCTCTTGAGAAACGACGTGCCATGTTCTCGACATACATCGCAATCCTTTCGTTCGGCATTTGTACATGGGACTGAAGATCGCGCTCAGCTCCCTATGGTCAATACGCAACGTGGTGGGGTTCACGCTAACTCAGCTGCTGGTGTCCAGAAAAGCTGGATATGTTGGTGGTGAGTTCACCGAAAATCCACGTAGTCATAGTTACCGGTAATATTACTGTCGGTACACATTCCAGCCTCGCCACAGTGGAAGCATAAAGGACGTTGATCCGGCGCACGCCAAAGATCTGATTTACGCGTGGGCAGACAGGGTACGTTGTAATATGGGGCCGCTTGGACTGTCTGCAAAATGGATGCGGCCACAATGAGAAGCGGAACTGCAAGTGTAACTGGCTTTCCCAAAAATTGAGCATACGACATGCCGTGAAAGCCACTGGGTGGTTGATAATCCCGCTTAAAAGGCGGTTCTCTTAAGGCATGCTGCACTTCATCTTGGACAACGCAAGGCAACGAGATCGTTGGCTGCGAGGGCACGGGCAGCTCCTGAAGTTCTCCGCAGAATGTTGAGTGTATGAGCTCTCGGAAAAATTTCCTTTCGCTACCAAATGCTCCAAGTAGTCTGCAGTTGACTTGCCATTCGTATGACGAGGCCCGGTGCTTAAATGTACTTTTAATGTTCTTGGTTTCTGTGATAAATTCTGATACAGTTTTGGGTGGACTGCGCAAACGTCCACTAAAAAGTGGCTATCTTACCCTGCGCATGAGGCGCCATAGCTTTTCTCTTGACATGCCGTGTGTCACAAAACGAGTGCTCAAAAAGGGCGCGCCACCAAATTCTCGCGATAAAGCGCGGGAGAGACGCCATGAGGTCACTGATAAAAAAAGAAAACAAGCCTTCAAATACTCCCCAGGCGCGTGTCCTTCTCCCCTCGGAAGCATGCGTTCGCCGACGAACCTCCTCTCATCGGCGCCCGAGCAAGCCCTCGAATGTTCTAGATGGATAGGGGTGGGGTGATGCCGGGTTGCGCCATCCGTCGCGGACGGCCTTCAAACCGTTTCGTCTTTTCCCCCAGCCTTTGCTGCGCATCGCGCCGACGAAATGATGAGAACTTTCTGGAATCTCGCGCGGAAGGTATTTAATCGAGCAGCCGAGATGAGAGATCAGGAGAAGACGGAAGTTAGCGCCAGAGCGCATAGGGGATTCCGCCGTGTAGTCGGCGCAGGTTTTGTCCGTAGTGACAAGGCAGGAGAAGAAGAGGATGTCCACCTGAGGGGTACCGACTCGAGCTACAGGCAAGAGTGTGTGTCTACCGCTATCGAGCGAAGACGCGTGGCAACCGCGGCGAGTGTGAAGCCGACGTGTTTCTGGTGAAGAAGTTTGAAGCTTGGAGAGTGGCCAAGTGAAGACGCGAGGTTTCCTGGAAGAGAAACTTCGGGGGCAGCGAAACGACAACAACGCTCGACTTTGAGTGAGTAATTCTCGGAAGAGTATCATCCAGACTTTTGTTCCAAGAATTTTGGACTGAATAGGTTTTCTATCTCTTTAGTCTTTAAGTGTCTTGGTTGTTCAATGCATGCGACTGCATTGTAGTGCGTATTGTTGTCTGTGTCCGTTGTTTTGAGTGTGGCTGATTGTACTGTGTAGTACATTGTTTGATTGGTGACATATTGTACTCAACTATTGTGGAGTGTGCATACTTGTGTATTGTTTTTGATCTGCCATTATTGAGAATATAATTTTGTTTTGTTTATCAGCTCTCGGCTCTGACTTGTTCTTTGGGCCACAGCCGGCGTCCGCTGGTGCGCCAAAAAGGACCACTTCTATGTTGTCCACGCTTTCGTGGTGCGGTTCGGGGTGGGCCGATACTTCGGCCCTTGGAATTAGCCGGACGATCGCATCCCGAATTAACGGGACCTTTGACACCATTTTCAGCTCAGGAGAAACGATCCGTCATGTTATCGACACACATCACAATCCTTTCGTTCGGCATTTTTATATTGGACTGGAAATCGCACTCAGCTCCCTCCCGACAATCAGGGCTTGCGTATGTTTTAAGACCCACAGCTTCATTTTGTCTCCAAAGTGTATACTCAAGATTTGGTAGCTGCATTTCCACGTCTTGCATTGCAGTGCGATGAAGTCATCTCTTTGTGCGCGCGTTCATCAAACAATGAGAAAAAGAGTGCATATGCTTACCAAGAACGTGATTTGAAAATAAAAGTGTTATATTTTGCACAACTCTTAAGTATACTTAAAATGCCAGCATAAACATACAGCGGCTTTGTGTGCTTGCCACTTTTGTGGTACAGCTTACACGAAGCTAACTTATGCATGGTAGTGATGCATAAAAAAAGAAACTAGACCATGTTGTCTGCGACAAGTATACAGACACAGAACACGTCTCAGAGGCCCTGTAATATTTCTAGTCACTAAAACGTCACCCTCGAGATCACCTTTTTAGGGTCCCTATGTCTGCGGAAGCCAAGATTCTCGCCACCCGTTTGGAACGCTCTGAACTACCACATAGGCCTATGGGAGTGTTCTCTCTCTTCCTCTAATATCATCATATACACTCTATGCTTGAGCTCCTTTTTGACACTATTGTAGCTGATGTGCCGAATAAGCCCACAATTTGCAAACAACTACTGAGTTTGCACAAATACGTCGATATTCCCGGTCCGACTTTTTTGAAAGCCAGATAACGAGGTATATGCCCACGGACAGCTTCACGCAAAGTGTATTTCCACAATGGTCATGATCTGCTTGAATTATTTTTTTATTTTCTGCAACACGTTCCAAAACTTTTCTTTCAATTACCAAATGTAATTTCTTCTCATCGACCTCCACTCACTTCGTGACATCACTGAGCCCACGGTGTTTCTCTCCGCAGTCGAGGCCGGCTCTGTAATGGGTGACACGGTTGTATTATGAGGCTTTGGTGGTAGGTCCAGTGTAATGACGCGGCCTTCTTCTGGTGTTTTTATTGGCGATATTTTTTTTATATATGCCAACAATGCATCCATCGCGCTCACCCCTGAAACATAATAAGAAGTGTTCCTGAATTCCCGCATTATGTTTGCTTTAGAGACATTAATTGGCAGTATAAGACGTTTGCCCTAATAATAGCCTTGAATTTGAGCTTACCTTCAGTCCTCCATTTAACAGAGCTTCCAAATTTGAAACCGTCGCCTCCACTGGCAATGAATGTAGTGGTTACAATGATGTAGGTTTCATTCTCCATAACCTCGCTATATCTGGGTACACTGCAGTTTGCACAAAGGACTTGCAACGAAATAATGCGACATCCATTTGGCATACTGAAGTTGTAAACCACCCGAACACCTAAGCGATCGAAAAATAAAATAAAGCGTACGTAAAGCTTTTGTTCTTTCACTAATGATTATGTTTATACAGTTATGAAGCACATCTCTTGAGATCTTTTTAGCTGCTTTTGCTTATCTTCCTATTTCCATAATTTACCACTTTTATGCATTTTTTTCCCTTAGCCACTCAAAGTAGCAAGTCAGCAATTTTTACGTGCTGGCTAAAAATTGTTTTTCTTAGTTCTTTTTTTTCACTGGAAAATATCCGCAATGAAACGGGGACGGGATTTCAAAGTACGCTATTATCACTATACAAGTAAAGCATAGAATGAATGTACGTGAGAACACAAATTGTCTAAAATATTAATTTCTTTATCTTTCTCTCTCTCTCGAGAACCCAAATGTTTACCTAAAAATGTGAATTTCAAGGGCGTATGCTCGCCACAATAATGGTAACAAAAGACTGGAATGGCAGGTACTATTTATCAGTATTTTTTTTCGAGGTAGCTTGTTCATATTGCTATAGACACAGCGTTTAACATGCTAAAAAAGTCTTGTCGAGCCATGTTGTTGACGACGTACAACTAGTGTCTCCAGTGAGCCAGTGATGAAATTTCTTCTTCATGATTGCTGGACAAAGGTGGCGAACTATACAATAAAAAATGGTATAAAGTTAAGAAGCCAAAATTCGGTTATAGGCTTTTCTACCGCGCTTCTCTGCAATTGAGATGAGTGCTACGTGTCAGCCTAACTGAAACGCTCATCTTTACAGACACACGACGCATAAGCGCGAAAGATAGCATTTTTTTTTCGCTGCAGTGAAGTGGTGGCTATGGTGCTCGGCCGCTGACCCGAAAGTCGCGTGTTCGATCCTGGTCGTGGTGGTCGCAATTTGATGGAGGCGGAATGGTAGACGGTCGTGCAGTGTGCGATGTCAATGCACGTTAAAAAGCACAAGATGCTCTAAATGTCCGGAGCGCTTCAATACAGATGTCTCCAAAATCGTATCTTGACTTTGGGTTTTGAAAATAGACATTGTCATTGGCGTTTGTTTGCCCGAACATGTGCTTTACTGAGGGCGTGTTCATGAGCATTTGAATAGGCACCGTTCAGTCGAGTTTTACTATCTGACTGTAGTGCCAGAACACATAGCCTAGCGGATAAAAAAGGCGACCGTTGACGGCATCAGAGAATGGAACTCGACGCGCGCATCTCCCGCCCTGCATTTGTCGGTGGATTGTGGCCAGGATATATGGGGGACGCACACACGCGACTATTCTCTGCATGCCCTAACGGCGAATGTGAAATACTATGAGGCGCCGCAGAGTGAGCCACGCAGTTCCCTCTGGCCAGTGTGTGGTGCCTATTAAAACATTGGTCATAAAGGAGTGGCTAGGCGGTAACACATTTGTAACATTGGGAAATGAGAGGAAGCACAATGGAAGAATTGCGCATAGGCTATAGTTACTTCTTTACTTCGCTAGCGCTTTGGCTTATTCAGCGTTGTTTATAACACAAAAGCGTTCTATGTGCCAGGGTCCAACAAGACCTCAGTGAAGTATTTCCGTTACAATTGGACGTCAAAGAACTTTACACAATTAATTATCAAACCAAAGAAGATTAGTCAACAGGCATCGAATCACCGGCATCTCAGCCCGCAGCAACAAGTGCCGAGCATGAAATCAGCTGTGCCACAGCCACAGACTCTAATGGCTTCACAAAGGTGGCTTTTACACATCACACATTCCTGTTGTCATGCTCTTGGTCAGCGAGGTGGTGTTGCCCTCTTGGAGCGGTAGAGTGAAGGACCTCATCAATACTGAGGCCTCAGTGATTAGCCTTTGTAACGCGTGTTGCAAGGTGTCCATCCCATTCTGCACCTTATCGATACAAGTCTGATTTTGTCAACGCCTTAACGCACCGTGAGGTGGTGACTTTAACTAAAGCATGAGTCTCACTTACACAGCTTATCCAAACTAAATATTGCTGTGCGCGGGCATGCATCATACCGAAAGCTGCCTCAATGCGCATCCTAAAGCACAAGGCATTGCGCAATTCACATTGAAAAGCCCCGCCGCTGTTGTCTAGAGGGTAAGGCACTCGGCTGCTGACCCGCCGTTTGCGGGATCGAATCCCGGCTGCGGCGGCTGCATTTCCGTTGGAGGCGATAAAGTTGTGGGCCCGTGTGTTCGGATTCGGGTGCACGTTAAAGAACCTCAGGTGGTCAAAATTTCCGGAGCCCTCCACTACGGCATATCTCATAATCATATGGTGGTCATTGTAATATGGGTCTTTAAACCTGACATATGAATAAATGCACAATGAAAAGCTGAGTTTACCCGAAGGTCTGCTGGGCAAACTATAAGAGAACCTTAAAGCAGCACTGCTGTGGTGCGTTTGAGATGTTGTATGTCGTAAATTCGTTAGAATTAGCGCTCACGTGTTCTTTGATTTAGACAATGCAAAATCCAGCATTTTATTTGGTATTGACTATCAGTGTTCCATCGCGTGGTAATTATGGACTTACAGTCTTAAATTTATTTAGCCAAAACATACACCAAGGGCGCCTCGACTCACAGCCGCAAACTGAGTTCACGGATTTCTTCCGTGAAAATCGCACACTTGACAATTCTGATTTCTCCGAAGAGTCAGGCAAACGCTTTTTTTTCGCTAAAGTGTGTTGCCGAAAATTCGTCAAGTACTTTGCATAAAATACAGAATGTTCTCCGCTAATCAAAACCTAGCAATGTTTCAAAACACTTACCTGATCCTTGTAAAAACCTTCCATTCAGGTCCGGCAGCCAGGTGAAGTTCGTGACTCCAAACTCAAACATATTCAGCAAGTCTCGACCGGTCATATTCATGAGAACCAGGTCACTGTCATAAGGCATCGCACCAAGTACATCACCAAGTGTTACGTTGGCTGGAAATAAACACATCACAAACATTATCTGTATGCATCTAAGTTTTTAGTTACCTTGAATTTTGTATCTGAAGCAGCAATATTCCAAAAATAATAATTATTATTCCATCAACCCCGTAATTTTAGGAAAATATTGAAGCAAAATTTGAAAATTTCGTGAGACTGTCGAAAACAAATTCTCAGTGTGTCATTACATCGAAAAGAAGTCGCTACTTGGCAACGTCTGAGCGAGTTGTCCTACTATCGACGTATTTGTGAGGCTGCTCCAGCCACTCAGGCAATGGGAGTTGGCGTCATGGCTCCTTCAGTCTACAAAAGCAATCCGCCTTGTTTCGAAGCGCACCCATTGGGACACCATGTATTCATGCATGTCCTCGTGCATTAGTCAATCTAGCAGTGATGAATTCATCTCTGTTGATACGAAGCATGTGAACTTGCAAGAAATTGCGGCATACGAATACAGTACACTCATTAAAAAAGGCAGTGCTACTTACTAACTTTGAGGTAGTAAATTCTTGTCACAACATTCACTACCTAAGTAGTAACTGCAGGTAGTATACCACAGACGTTCACTATGTAGTGGAGCATACGCACTAACGTGTATGCGCCTTCCAAAGAGAAGGAAAAACCCCGTGCTCTGATTGCACGAGAACCTAGGCCGCCTTTGCGAGGCTTGTCGTACGGCCATTTTTCGTTGCGACATCGTTGCGACTTCTCCGGTTCAATAAACGTCATCACATTTGGTGGAGGCTGCTGAGATCCCCAAGGAGACCTGGAGCTCCGCTCTCGCAAGTTGCCCGAGAGACCACTGCAAAACATGACTGACGCAGTCGCCAACCAGCCCATCCCAGCCCAGCCAGCACCACCGGCTGTCCCGTCTACCTGCCCCGGCGCTACTCGCCAACGGGACCCACCAATCTTCAGCGGCAGTGGTGAGCAAGACGTCGAAGACTGGCTCTCTTTGTACGAACGCGTAAGCGCCAGCAACAAGTGGGACAACGATTCTAAGCTCGCCTACGTTATCTTTTACTTGGCAGACGTAGCAAAACTTTGGTTTACAAACCGCGAAACCGCCATCACCAACTGGTCCTCCTTTAAGACACTCGTCACTGAAGCGTTCGGCCGACCAGAGGTCCGCAAGCTCCGCGCTGACCAGCGCCTGCGCCACCGAGCCCAGCAGCCTGGCGAGACATTTACCAGTTACATAGAGGACGTGCTCGACCTCTGCAAGCGTGTGAATCCATCTATGCTCGAAGAAGAGAAAATTCGGCAGATTCTCAAGGGCATCGAGGATGGCGCATTCCAGATGCTGCTAGCGAAAAGCCCGAACACGGTAGCCATCCTCGTAAGCCTCTGCCAGAGCTTTGATGAATTGCGCCGTCAGCGTTCCATCGCCCGACAGAGTGTCCCACCGCCGGATTCGATCTCGGCCGTCGCACTCACAAATGCCAACGGTTGCCAAGAAAGTTTGTCACACCAGATCAAAGACTTCATCAGGGAGGAAGTCGCCCGACAGCTCTCCCTGCTGCCGCATAGTGACGCGCCCACCGCAAGCCTGCCTTCGACACTGCAGCAGGCCATACGCACTGAAATTTGTGATGTCCTCCCTACAGTGCAGGCCCCTTACGCATGTACTTCAGCAGCACCTAATCTCTCAGCTGTCGGCTACGCACCACCTGCACCACCTTCACCTCTCAGCTACGCAGCTGTGGTCGCGCGGCCCCCACCACATCCAGTCGCCTTATCAGCTCCACCTCCTCCGGCCTCGCCTCCAGTTTACAGGCCCTCACCTCGCTTTTTCCGTCGATCTAATGAGTGGCGCACCCATGACAACCGTCCTATCTGCTTCGCCTGTGGCATCGCTGGCCACATTGCACGCTTCTGCCGCCGTCGCCCCACACCTGCAAACGCATACTTCGGAACTGCTACCTACGTGCCGCAGCAGGCCAGCGCATCTGCATATGAACAGAGGCACTCAGACTCGGATCGCCGCCCATCGACTGCTCGTTTCCCATCCCCTCGTCGCCGATCGCCATCGCCTATGCGTCGTCGACCACCTCCTGAGGAGGGAAACTAATCAGTGCAGTTCCGGAGGCAAGAACTGCACCTTGTGCGCAATTCCCAAGGCCTCCGTTTTCGCCACAAAATGTTGTTGATGTCGATGTTGAGGGAGTCGCCACATTAGCGTTAATTGATACCGGGGCCGCCGTTTCTGTGATGGACGCCAAATTTTGTCGGAAACTGAAGAAAGTGACCACATCTCTCTGTGGCATGGTGCTGTCCACGGCTAGCGCGCAACGCATTCATCCCTCGGCTCTGTGTACGGCGCGCGTCGTCATCCAAGACGTTTTGTGCGTCGTACAGTTTTTTGTTCTGCCATCTTGCTCTCATGACCTTATCCTCGGTTGGGATTTCTTATCACGTCATGAAGCTATCATCGATTGTTCCCGTGCCGAAGTGTCCCTTGTGCCAACATATGAATTTCCACCACCCGACCAGTCGCCTCGGCTCTGCAAACTCATCGCTGACGACGACATCACCTTGCCCCCGGAAGCTTCAGTCCCTATAAGCCTTTCATGTGTGGCGCAACTTGACGCCACGGTGGTGTTTACGCCATCTCCTGTTTTTACTGAACGCAAGGGCATCGTTCTCCCATTTGCCGTTCTTACAATTGCGTCTGGTTTAACCGTAATGCTGGTTACCAACCACTGCAACTACCCCATTGGCTTACTTCGTGGTGAAACGTTGGGATATGTGCAACCTGTCGACCATATCGATGATATTATTCTTCCCGACGAAACGCCATGTCAGATTGCCGCCATAACTGATGCGTCTGAGCCATCAAGTTTGTCGCCCTTCGACAATGCTATTGACGCAGACCTTCCCCTCTCGCATCGCCGCCAACTTGTTGCTCTCCTTAACAAGTTTCGCTCTTCTTTCGACTTTCAAGAACCTGCTTTGGGCCGCACCACGACTATCACTCATACTATTGACACCGGCTCACATTCACCTCTGCGACAGCGTCCTTACCGCGTTTCCGCCGAAGAGCGCCGCGTCATTACGGAGCAAGTAGACGACATGCTTAAACGTGGAGTGATACAGCCTTCTCAAAGCGCTTGGTCATCACCTGTGGTTCTCGTAAAGAAAAAAGATGGCACCGTTCGATTTTGCGTGGACTATCGCCGCTTAAACAAGATTACGAAGAAAGATGTCTACCCGCTACCACGAATAGACGATGCTCTTGACTGTTTACAAGGCGCCGAGTACTTTACATCCTTGGATCTGCGTTCTGGGTATTGGCAGGTGCCAATGGCTGAATGTGATCGCCCTAAAACAGCCTTTGTAACGCCAGATGGCCTATACGAGTTCAAAGTGATGCCATTTGGGCTCTGCAACGCACCTGCCACATTTGAGCGCATGATCGATACCATCTTGCGTGCCCATAAGTGGAAAACTTGCTTGTGTTACCTGGACGACATCGTAGTCTTTTCGTCTGATTTCCCGACACATCTTGTTCGCCTCCACGAGATTCTGACGTGTCTAACTTCTGCGGGCCTACAACTTAACTCCAAGAAGTGCCATTTCGCAGCACGAAAACTAACCATCTTGGGACATGTCATCACAAGAGACGGTGTTCTTCCGGATCCCGAAAAGCTTCGGGCTGTCACTGACTTCCCGTTGCCCACATCACTGAAAGCCCTAAGAAGTTTCATCGGTCTCTGCTCCAACTTTCGTCGCTTCGTGCGCAACTTCGCGTCCATCATCGCACCTCTCACGAGTCTGCTTTCCAACAGCAAAGGTATATCTGCATGGTCACCTGCATGTGACGACGCATTTCGCCAGCTGCGCTGCCTGCTGACCTCACCACCCATTCTTCGTCACTACGACCCCGCTGCTGCCACAGAAATTCACACCGATGCAAGTGGCATCGGTCTTGGTGCAGTTTTGGCACAACGGAAAGGCACCCAAGCCGAATACGTAGTCGCCTATGCAAGTCGCGCTCTCAAGAAGGCTGAATTGAATTACTCCATGACAGAGAAGGAGTGTTTGGCCATAATCTGGGCCTTGACGAAGTTTCGCCCGTACCTTTACGGCCGCCCTTTCGACGTGGTCACAGACCACCACGCTCTATGTTGGCTGTCCACATTGAAAGACCCGTCCGGACGCCTGGGACGTTGGGCACTTCGATTGCAAGAATACGACATCCGTGTAGTATATCGTTCCGGTCGCAAGCATGCGGATGCCGATGCACTTTCGCGATCCCCATTAACCCCAGATGTGGCTTCTCTGCCACCAGTTTTTACCACCTTGTCACCAATAGACACCACTGACATGCTTTCGGAGCAGCGTAAAGATGCATACCTTGCATTGTTACTCGACTACCTTACCGATCCGTCTGCTGTCCCTTCCACGAGAGCGCTACGCCGACAAGCAGCCCACTTTTCCGTGCGAGACAGCATTCTGTACCGCCGCAACTACACGCCTGGTGGTCGGAAGTGGCTCCTTGCTGTCCCAACTCATATGCGCTCTGACATCTGCATGAATTTCCATGCAGACCCTCAAAGTGCTCACGCAGGTGTCCTGAAAACCTATGAACGGCTGCGCCAACGATATTACTGGCGAGGAATGTATCGCTTTGTGCAGAAATACGTTCAGTCTTGCACCACTTGCCAACAGAACAAGACACCTCCGCGGCACCTTACTGGCACGTTACAGCCGCTCCCGTGCCCGGCTCGCCCATTCGACCGCGTGGGTATAGACCTCTATGGCCCCCTCCCATATAGTCGCTCTGGAAACCGGTGGATTATTGTCGGCGTCGATCATCTGACACGCTACGCTGAGACTGCAGCTCTACCGGCAGCGACCGCCCATGAAGTTGCACTCTTCATTCTGCGCAGCTTCATTCTCCGCCATGGGGCTCCACGGGAATTACTCAGTGATAGGGGTCGAGTGTTCCTGTCGGAGGTCATCCAAGCTATTCTCGCTGAATGCAACATCAT